CATCCTTTAGACAAAAGTTGAGTATTATCTAAACCAAAAACGTTTCCAAGCCAAATCATACACCTTTATAAAATTTGTCAATCCATTATAGTCCTTTTAGTGTGCAAGATTTTATAGTAGCAGCAACCACACACAACTTACCTGAAGTTCTAGAATCAGGGTAACCACTAGGTTGAATTGTACTCTCTGTCGTTGTAAAAAGTAAGGTTTGACTGGCTGCCTGGTGGGCCATCTGACCACATGGAATCTCGTCAGAATTGTCACCACAGTCGTCTACGGAATTGCAGACTAAAGACCAACTAGGTAAACACTTGTTGTTTTGGCATATAAATGTACACGGTGCTCTAGTATCTAAAGGTTCTACTTCTGAAAACAAAAACAAACACTGTTCTATTAAATAGAATACTAAATGACAGTTAATATGGGCGTATGATCTTAACACCTCACCCACTGATGCAGTTTTTTCCCATTTATTACTGCTACATGTATCTGTGGGGGCTTTCACCATGGAAATTAAACTTTGAGCCACACAATTTTACTAAAACATACATGGTTAATTTCCAAGAACCTTGAAATAATTTTGACAATATCTTCAGGATTATCTGCAACCATGCATACATATATATTGTGCGATAAATTTATTGAGACAAAACAATCAGAGCAAAAAAATTATAAATTCTGATGTACATAAACATGTACAACATTTTAAACTGCATGCAAGCAGATATACATATTAGTTACTCAAGATGCCATTGTTTTGTTTCATTAATTTATCCAAATGTAATGTAATACCAATTACTAATCAAAGAAAGCTTAGAAAGAACTCCCGTGTGCTGAGAGTATTGAAGACACATTAAAAATTAATTCAAAATTACTTGTACATGAGATATTGATAGAAAAGCTGAAAACTAATTATGTACATCAGGTAACTAATGTGAACAGAACAGAACAAAAAAATTATGAATTATTATGCTAATTAGAGAATTAATATGAACAAATTTTAACCCAAAATTAATCAGGCCTGTCTATTGTCCTAGAGCATTTATGTACCAAATTTTATTCAAATGTGATGATCAGTAATTGAGATATCAGTGTTAATTAATTATGTTAATTAGGAGATTAATAAGCATAAATATTTACCAAAAACTAATTGG